CCAGGTTTAAACCCACCCATGAATTCACCGATTCAGGATTATCTCAGCGTTACGGTTTATTTAATTGTTACAGCTTATTTTAAGGGATGTGGAGAGAGGCGGAGGGACGGTCCTGTATGTAGCACGCTGGGGCAGTCAGAGGAAGGCGCAGCACGCAGCTACAAACCACCCCATGGAAGGACAAGGTTTCTGCACTTGTCTCCAGTCTCACAAATAAACTATTAAATAAATTATTTTAAATAGGAGATAAGGGGATACTTCCCTAGGACCTGTCTACAGTGAGTAGACGTGCGTACAGAATAAGCCCATGATGATGCAGCGTTTCCACACTGAGGGCTGGTAGAAGAGGCACTTGGAACCAAACCAGCAGCAAAAGCTCTTTAACTGGTTTCGTTAAACCAAATTTCTGACGGTTTAGAACATTAAATAATGTGTTCATTACTCCTAGTATTTAGAAGTATCTTACAACAGATACAACCCTTTATTACAATCCTAAATGCTAAGACAGAGGGTCCAAGGCTGGTCCTTGACGCTCGAATGACGAAGGGGAGCCTTTCGATTTCAGTCTTAACATTTGTAGTGAGGAGAGAGAAGGGAAGAAGGGTCAAGCCTGACCTGGAGAAGTGCTCAAATGGGAAAAGCTGTGGTTTATCCTTTGCTGGTAGTTTATGACAACGCACTCTCGACGTAGAAGTTACCGGATGTTGCTCTGAGCTGGTGCCAGAGCTCTCTGCGAGAAGGCAAGCGGTGCGTCCGCTTCTTCTCCCTCAGCCCATCCGCGTCCTCCCTTCTCTAAGGCAAATGGCTAACGTCTTCAAGGTTGAATATAATATTCTCATTTTTTTTCATTTCTTCATAGATTCTGGTGAATTATGCATTTCCTCTCAAGCATTGAGCCTGGAAGGAGCACTGAAGATCAGAGGCAGCAGAACAGAGGGAAACCCGGCCAACGCCAGATCCTTGCTTTCCTCTTGATCCGAGGAGAAACTCGATGCAGTATCACAGTCTGCAAGATGCCTGGGACACTTTGGAATTGGTTCGTCTGTTGAGAGCATTGCAAATAAACGTGCCTGTGTCCATCAGCTTCTGCAGATCCACACCCTTCATGGGGAAAAAAAAAAAGATACAACGCGCATTGGTACCAGTTCTGCCACATAAAGCTGCCCAGTAACAACCGGTGTCACTGGGAGAGACTCGCAGGGGGTGAGGGAGCCCGAAGGGTACTTTAACGAGGCTGCGAGTGCCTGCTGCTCGCTAGTGTGGTTCTGACAGTGAGGGTTAAATCGCAGAGCGCTGAAAAAGGGAGAGGAGGGAATGCTTCCAGCCGGTGGGGGTGGGATTGGCACGGCAAGACACGGCAGAGCCGGAGCAACCCTTGCAGCTACGCTCAGGCTCCCTGGGCCAAGTTTTGAACCCCCCACTGAAGCCACAAAAATGATCCGAGGGCTGGAGCACCTTCCCTGCGAGGACAGGCTGGGGGAGTTGGGGTTGTTCAGCCTGGAGAAGGCTGCGAGGAGACCTTATTGTGGCCTTTCAGTACTTGAAGGGGGCCTATAGGAAAGATGGGGGCAATCTTTTTAGCAAGGCCTGTTGTGACAGGACAAGGAGTAATGGTTTTAAACTAAAGGAGGGGAGATTTAGACTGGATATAAGGAAGAAATTTTTTACAATGAGGGTGGTGAAGCACTGGCACAGGTTGCCCAGAGAGGCGGTGGAGGCCCCATCCCTGGAAACATCCCAGGCCAGGCTGGACGGGGCTCTGAGCACCCTGCTCTGGTTAAAGCTGTCCCTGCTCACTGCAGGGGCTGGGCTGGGTGATCCCTAAAGGTCCCTTCCAACCCAAAGCATTCCATGATTCTATGATATGAAGCCTGAACAGAGCCATCGTGTGAGAGGCTCAGCTGCTGCAGGCAGCAGCTGCTCGTGCTTACCGTGTGGATGCCCAGGCCATTCAGCATGTACACCAAGTCCTCCGTAGCAACGTTTCCCGAAGCTCCTCGGGCATAGGGGCAGCCTCCAAGGCCAGCGACGGAAGCATCAACCACGCTCACGCCCATCTGCGAACAAACCCACTATCAGTAAACTCTTAAAGGTTACAAACTGTTGTCCTGCTCCTCAAATCTACGGTTCACAAGCAAGCACAAAAAACCCTCAAGGAAGGATGCTATACTGCAAAGCGAGAATCTTACCTGAAGCGCTACCAAGATGTTGGCAAGAGCTTGCCCGTAGGTGTCATGGCAGTGAACAGCAAGAGCCCCAACTGGCACCTCTTTCATGACTGCTGTCAGCATCTCCTTCATGCTCCCTGGGGTCCCAACGCCAATGGTGTCACCAAGGGAAATCTCGTAGCATCCCATCGAGTACATTTTCTTTGAGACCTGTCCAAAAGCCAAGATGCTTACTAAAAGGGCAGCTTTGTCATTCCCTTCCCCAGAGCTGGAGCCCTGCCAGACAGAGGAATCGGAGCACAGCAGCCATGGGGACAACAGCCAGGAGGCTTCTCCCTGAATTCCCCAATCCATTTTGGCTAGATCCAGCCTTCCCCCTCCCTGTGCTGGCAGCTAGCTGTGACCTTCCCCGGTCTTCCCTCAGTCTGTGGTTAAATGGTCTGACACATCCTCCAGCCCGCAGTGCCCAATTCACACCCATAAAAGGGAGCCAAAAACCTCTCAGAAATTCTGGTTATATTTATGATGAACTCACCTCTGCAACTTTAGCTGCAGAAATCTTCCCTTCATAGGGACAACCAAGGACACAGGAAACGTATCTGTGGTTAAAAATAATACACACCTTTAGCTAGAGAACCAAAGTGAGATTATACTGGCCAAATTAGCCAAGACTCATGCAGTGTCTTGCATGCTCTATACAATGGAAGAATTAATTTCATATTCTAAAAATCAGTCCAGTGGATAAAGCTTACATAATTAACTACTCAAGAATTACTTCTTCCACGGACGTGAAAAATTTGCCAAGGCAAGAGTACGCAGGACTGTTAGGTTTGTAGATCTACACACTTCCATGTGGAATGTCTGCCAAGAAGCTAGTATTATTTTGGATCATTTGGTAAAGCTGAAGACAGAATAATTACACGAAGGGTGAATCCATCTGGAAGAGCGCAAAGTGTCACGAGTGGTACAGGCTTTGCACCAAGTGAGCATCTGAAACCGTGTGAGCGTGATGGTGTTTCCAAATTAATGCTTCTCATTGCACTGAGCTCACATCTGCTTGCACCCATCCAGATAGAGAGACACCCCCCCAAAAAAGGTAAAGTTTAAAAGAAATCCCACTCCCCAGCGCTGCATGGGCTGGACTCCAAAGAGATAAATTCAAGCAGTCTCATCTCCCCACGTGACCTGCTCGATGCTAAGTTCGCAGCAGAAACTCCTTACCCCCGGACAGGAATGCTGGCCGCTCTCGCTGCAGTCATCACTTCATCGAACCTCTCCAAACTCTCCTCTATGGAACAGTTGATGTTCTTCTTGGTGAAGAGCTCAGATGCTGCTCCGAAGATCGACACTTCCTTGGCCCCTGCTGCCACCTGCCAACAGAAAGTGTAAATTAAAGCAAGCCGATTTCTCTTGCAAGGGCAATGACAAGCATAACCATGACTACAGTTCTCTCATTTTATAAAAAATATTTTATAAAAAGTATTTTTTCCCCAATTCTTCCTCGAATAACCCAATTCTTTCCTCAGTTCCTTCTACAACAAAAACACAATGACACATCCAAGTTTGTCTTCAAAGAAGTGTAAAGTTACAGATACAGCAGTAAAGCTACATCTGCTGGATGTAGTCCGGAGAGCTGGGGGACATGCAGATAAGACCGAAAGCATCACTGCCAATTAAAATAGATTACTTTTTTAATAACAGAAAATGTATCAAGGTATTTTCTATTATAAACAACAGGTTTCTGTTTCCCCAGCAAAATGATCCCTTGTAAAGGAACTACAAGAGGAGACTGCTGCCTGCCAAAACGAAAGACGCATTTCCCACCCTTAACCGCAGGTGAAACATTCCTTCGTGGGCAACCCTGCACGTGAGGCACCGAGAACGTTCAGACGCTGCCAGCTCTTACCGCTGCCTGAAATCCTTTCAGATTAGGGGTCAGCACAGGATAACTAATACCAGGCAACTTATTAATTCCTTGCATGACTTCAGTATGGTCAGCCATCTGCAAGGTAAACAAGGAAAGGTTTCTAAGGGTGACAACGTCCACTTTTGCAAACTATAAATTTATTTTTTTAATTTATTTTTACGAACTGGGACAGCAATACTTAGAAATAAGAGAAATGGGCCTCTGAAGAGCAAAGAGCACTGC